AATGCAGAGTACAAAGGGAACCTGGGAGAAGATGGAGGATAAAAACACAGACTGAGTCGAAAGAACAGCTAATATTTAACAGTTGTGGGACAAACGAGAGAACTGACAAATGTGGTGTAAGAGATCTGCCTTCCTTATTTTTTATGGTAAAATATCTCTGTGATTTCCTGGGGTCACGCCTTGCCTGCTGTGGTTAGTCAGAGAGGTTAACCTGAGGATGTCAGGATTGGAATGTGCATCCCTGTCCCCATGGCTGGGATTACTGCACTGTGTCTGAACTGGAAAGGAGCTCTTCCCTTCTCCAGCTGCCCCCAGTGGGGCAGTTCTGGGGTTTTGTTCCCCATTCTGACCTCAGCCACCCCAGAGCTGCTCCCACAGTCCCTGCTGGGCTCAGCCTGGCTCAGCTCTGTCCTGGAGCCAGCTGGAATTGTCTCCATCCTCTGCCAGAGCCCCCTCCTCCCCAGTGAGCCCAAACCCAGCTGAGGCTCAGACTGCAGCCTGGGGAACAGCAGCACACAGCCCTTGGAAGGCTCTTGCTCCTCTGGAAATGCCCTTGATGATGCAGATTGAGGATAGATCAGCATGGAAAACATGACCTAGATGTTCTTTCTAAGCAGAATACTTACATACACACACATAAATATATATATAATATAATCTAATCATCTTGCAGGCACTGGCAGCTCTTTAAAGGAGCAGCAAAAGCTCTTTTTCTTCAGAAACACCAGAGCCCCAGCCTCGGCACAGTCCCCAGTGATTAAAGCTACACCTCCAAGGAAAGCTGGAAGCTCTGCCAGTAAACCTTCCTCCTGCTAACGCTGCTAAAGCCCCTTCATTATCCCAGCCAAGGCAGAGCTGAGAAACAGATCCTTTCCAGCATCCCTGAACCAAAAAGGAGAGATTCAGGCAGCAGCAGAATCCAGATATTTTACCCTTTTTTTGCCCCTGGGACCCCTGCTCTGTGTACAGACTGTGCTTCCCATGTGTGGACATTTGATTGCTCACTCAGAGTTTTTCCAGAAAGCTGCTCTGCCTTAGGAGTATGTTTCACTATGAAATCTAGTAGCTGGATAATTGATAAATTATGGCCATTAATAGCTTAAATATAATTAGTTATTATGAGGTAGAGAACTGTCGTTTTTCTAAGGAGGACTATCAAGTTATTATTGTAGGATTTGAATAACCATTTATTAAATATTAACATAATTAAAATTAACCCTTTTTGGGTCACTGCACGTATCTCTCAAAATTTATTTTGTTCCTTGGTAGACATGGAGTCCAAATTAATGTTGAGACTTTGTATTTGTTGATGACAAATGATGTCCTAAGCCAAAATGGAACTGAATAAAGAGTAAGGTGGCTCAAAAGGTTTGTGCTGGTCACTGATGTGATCCAGCTCAGGGAGATACTGTAGTGAAATTAAAAATATGGAGCTTATTAAATAGATGGGGCTTAAATGGGTTTGAGTCAGAGGTGGGTATTGCCCTGGCCATTTGCACATGGGTGACAAGAAAAGAACCCACCTGTGGAATTCTCCTGTGCAAGATGCTCAGTTGGAAAGCAGCTCTGTTCCCCAGTGAGGCGAGTGCTCAGAGCTGTGCCACGTCCACCTCCCTCTCCAGACACCCTTTCCTGCCTTCACCCACCTTCTCCCTCTCCAGCTGCTGCAGCAGAGGCTGCCCAGCGCCAGAAATGGCCAAAATCCTGGCAAGGAGTGCTTGGTGCTCTCCTGTGTGAGCAGCAGAGCTCTGAACAGGTAAAACAGGCACCCTCTGTCAGCTGTGCTGCTGGAGCTGCTGTGAGCAGCCTCTCCAAACCCTGTGACTTCCCAGGGTGATTTCTGGCAGTGGGGAACCTTTCCCAGGGAGAACAGAGCAGCTTGGAAAGCTCCAGCCTCTCCCTCCTGGGGGTTTTGTGCCTCCTTGTTTCCTATCACCTCTGTGGGTCACAACAACAGGTTTTTTTCTTTGTTTGTTTGTTTTTTTTTCCCATAACTGTCTCCTCTCTACCTCAAGAACTTCCTGTAGGAAATTTTCAGAGTGCTGGTGGCAGCCCCATGGAATGAGTCAGCTCCGTGCTGCTTTCAGCCTGGTGAATGAAAGGGTTCTGGAGGCATCATTTCCTTATTGCTGAGGCCTGGGTTTGACAGAACTGTAGAATTCACTGCTTTCTCACAGATATGTGTGTCTAATTGACAGAAAGAAAACACCAAAGCCTTTTGTGAATCAGAATTCCAGAATCATTAAGGATGGAGAAAAAAGTCCAGGATTGAGTCCAAGCTGTGACTGACCCAGCCCAGAGCCAGAGCCCAGGAACACTCTGGTTAATTATTCTGATACCTTCCTTCCTTAAGAGGCTCTGAGATGAGTATGTCTTTCCAGGGAAAAGAATTAACTCTGGCATCCAGTAGGTTTTTTCCCAGAGAAATACCAACAATACCTTTCTGCTGAGAATTAGTCTTTCTGCAGGGATTTCTCTGTATAAAATGCAAATCCACTGTCCAGGCCCCAGATAAAGCCAGGCTGGAATGGCATCACTGCTGGTGCAGAGTCCTGGCTGTGCTGCTGGGATTCTTCAACCATTTCCAGCTCCAGCACTCGGCCACAAACCTGAAACTCCTCACCTCAGCCCTGCTCGTGTTTCCCCTTTCTTTGAAGAGCTCAAAGATCACCTCTCTCAAAGTACTTGACAGAAGTGTCTCTGCTCTGTGAGAAGGCAGCTCCTGCACTCCTCATCTGAAGCACTTTTCTATCTGCCTGATCTTTTCATGACCAGGGAAAGAAACAAGGTTTGATTCACACGTGGCAATCTCAAACTCTGTTTCCCCACTGCATTCCCCAAATATTTCCTCCCTGTCCCACCATCCCTGGCCACCCCTGTCCCAAATCCCTTCAGAACTGATGGGGACATTCAGGATTAATGGCTGATCTTTAATGTTTCCATCCACAAAACGGATGTTGCTCATCTGAAGGTTAGCAAAGCTCTAAAGCTCCTTAAAGATATGATGCTGTAAAGATGGGAAGGGCTATTGATGGTTCATCATTTTTTATCTGTAATATTTACTGCCTCTCACTTCCTTCTTGCATAACACAGCAAATGCTGTCCTGCTCCCTGAAAACGTGTGGTAAATCAACTGATCCACTCTCTTTGGAATTATCCCTACTTAGTGTTACTTTTCATGCCCATGTTTTGGAATCTATTTAAAATGCGCCTTAAATAGCTGAATAAAATAAATGCCAGGGCTCTTGCAGCTTTTTCCACCTGCTTTCAATGCAGAGCTGCCAGACAATTTCAGTGGTTTATAGCCTGTTGCCCAAAATCAAATTCCGTGTTACTTTTGGTTTAAGGGCTAATAGCTTTTTGAAATATATTAATGTTTTCTGGTGACAGATCTGAGATTAGCTGTTTATCCATTGTTCCAAGAGGTATTCTATAATCCTGTGGCACAGTCAACTTTATGAGGAATTTTACAGCCTTTCATGAGCCCATTGTGGTTTAAAATGCTAAAAAAGCAGTTAAGGAGAGAGGAAAACAAAGCCCTGCAGTGTGTCCCTCTGATGTTCCATCGGCCTTTGGAGGGCTGGGGAGAGAGCAGGAGTGGGTGCAGGAGTGGGTGCAGGAGTGGGTGCAGGAATGGATGGCTGCAGGAGTGGCTGGAGGAATGGATGGATGCAGGAATAGCTGCAGGAATGGCTGCAGGAATGGCTGGATGCAGGAATAGCTGCAGGAATGGCTGCAGGAATGGATGGCTGCAGGAATGGCTGGATGGCTGCAGGAGTGATTTGCTGCAGGAATGGCTGCAGGAATGGCTGCAGGAATGGCTGCAGGAATGGATGGCTGCAGGAATGGCTGGATGCAGGAATGGCTGGATGGCTGCAGGAGAGATTTGCTGCAGGAATGGCTGCAGGAATGGCTGCAGGAATGGCTGGAGGAATGGATGGCTGCAGGAATGGCTGCAGGAATGGCTGCAGGAATGGCTGCAGGAGAGATTTGCTGCAGGAATAGCTGCAGGAATGGCTGGATGGCTGCAGGAGTGATTTGCTGCAGGAATAGCTGCAGGAATGGCTGCAGGAGAGATTTGCTGCAGGAATGGCTGCAGGAATGGCTGCAGGAATGGCTGCAGGAATGGCTGGATGGCTGCAGGAGAGATTTGCTGCAGGGATAGCTGCAGGAATGGATGGCTGCAGGAATGGCTGGAGGAATGGATGGCTGCAGGAGAGATTTGCTGCAGGAATGGCTGCAGGAATGTCTGCAGGAGGAATCACTTTGCCCAGACAGACCCAGGAGCCAGCCAGGCAGAGCTGAAGTGCTGCAGAGGTGCTTTGGCATTAGTGTTTGCCTCAAGGCAGTGAAGAGCCAGGCTGGGGGAGCCACTGCCAGCCCCTGAGCACATCCTTGGGTGACATCCACTGGTGTCGGTCAGTCCTGGTGTTTCCTCGTGTGATGAGATCAAAAGCAGCGTGGGCAGCAGGAAAGGGATTGGGATTGTGCCCCTGTGCCCAGGTGAGACCCCAGAGCTGCCCCAGCCCTGGGCCAGCACCTGGAGCTGCTGGAGGAGCCCAGAGGAGTCACAGGGGGATCAGAGGGATGGAGCAGCTCTGCTGGGAGAGCTGGCAATGCTCACCTGGGGAGGAGAAGCTTTGGGGTGGGCTCAGTGTGACCTTGCAGGGCCTGAAGGAGCTGCAGGAGAGCTGGGGAGAGACAATTGACAAGGGGTGGAGGGACAGGAGCCAGGGAATGGCTGCCAGTGCCAGAGGGCAGGGCTGGATGGGATTTGGGGCAGGAATTGTTCCCTGGCAGGGTGGTCAGTGCCTGGCACAGGTGCCCAGAGCAGCTGGGGCTGCCCCTGGATCCCTGGCAGTGCCCAAGGCCAGGCTGGACCCTGGGAGGTGTCCCTGCCATGGCAGAACTGGCACTGGATGAACTCTGAGGTCCCTCCCAACCCATCCTGGGGTTCTGTGGGTTTTATCAAAGGAATCTTTCTGTTTGCTGCTATAACATGAAGAAACAATGGTATTTATTCCCTGGCTCAAGGACTACCAGGTGATGATTAGGTGCTGAAATAACTTAGGCCATATAAATGTTTTCTGTAGTAAAAAAGAAATAAGCGAGAATTTATTTTCTAGTCACATAAGGAATTAATATTTAAAATGCATTTTCTGCCTTTTTTTTTGATGATTTATCAAAATTTCAATGAATTTGCTCCTCTTGCTCTTCTCCCCCCCTGTTTTTCAAGAAATAAGCTGAAGCTTTTCAAACAAGCTCCAGTAATAAAATGATTTAAGAATTAGATTCTGGTCATCAAGATGAATATTGAAAAGCAGCAAAACTGAGGAGTAGTTGACTTTAAGCTATGATTTTACTTTTTGTGAGTTCCTTAATTTCTGAAGTCAGTCAAGAGCTGAAGCCATTCTTTCTAAATGCTGACCCTGAAAGATTCTTATTGATAACCATGGCACAGATTTTTTAATATCCTTGAGGGAAGCATGCAGCAATCTCCTCTGCTAAGAGCACAATAAGTTTTTTGTTTTTTCACAGCATTTCCCTGATGTATCAGTGATGAGCTGTCCACGCTTACAGGCTGAATTTAAAAATCCATGAAATATGAATGCAGTTATTGTACTGTGCAACCAAATATGTTCCCAACTTTGAAGATAACACTGAGGAAAGTTACTTTTGTGCATTAGCTGTTCCCGTGGTGGAGGAAAATGTTAAGGCTGGAGATAAAGGGTTCACTCCTTGATGTTAAATATGTGCCTGAAGTATGTCAGAAATGACTCAGGGAGAGCAGAGCGAGCCATCAGCTTTGGAATATTGCAATATCTGAAAGTAACAAACGTTTTTCTAGACAAGTTTTACTCCTTCCACAGCCCAGGCCTCACAGTGATGCTGGTGACTCTTGCAGGGGGCAGATTCCACACGGGGAAAACTCCAGTGGGGAAAGCCAGGAGTTCACAGACAACGTGGAGGCTTCAATTCATCATCATCATCAATTCATGATGAACATGGGGCTTCCCCAGAGCTGCTTGTGGTGACAAAGCAACAAAACTGAGGCTGGATAATCAGGGATTCCTGAGAGAAAAAAGGGAAGGTGCAATTCCTGAGCACCACCTGAAGCCTGAAAGCAGAGGAATAACCCAAGAGCACTCACAGCACTCCAGCCACAACTCTCAGGCTTTGAGGAAACAAAACTGCCTTCAAATTCAGCCTTTCCTGCAGGTTTTTGTTTGGCTGTTTGTTTTTTCCCTTTTGCAGATCGCTCTTTTCATACAGGGATTTGGTTATGGAAAGGCTCATTGATGCAATTCAAAGAAATTTAGCTAAAAGACACAATTTTTATGTATTTATTTGTTGTTTTTTTCCTTTGAGCTGGTGCTGCAAGGCTGGAAAGGTAACTGGGTGCACCCTGGGATCATCTGGGTGAGGACTGAGGGGAGGCTCCTTCACCCTGGAGAGCCCCCAGCACTGGCAGAAGCTCCAGTGAATAACACAAATTATTTTTTCCTGCCTGTTTTACATCTCCCAGATGGTGAAGACAGTCTGCCCCAGATCTGTCATGGTATCATGCTACCATCACACACTCCTGAAGCGATCAGGGGGTGATAGCTTCTGCAAATCAAGTTATTTTTGTATTTTTAATTGTTCTCCTAACTGGCAGCTCATGTTGGCTGTATTTTAAGGAGCAAAGATTTCAGCTAAAGCATTACTATGTCATTAACCAGTCCATTGAATATTCATGATTTACTGGATTTTTTTTCCCCCCACAGAAGGAGAGAAGTAATTATTTTGGCTAGCACTTGAAAAGTGTGTGTGTTCTGTTCACAGAGCTCCACCAGAATGGGAAAAAATAGAATTTTTCTATTAGACATGCAAACTGATCTGCTCTGCCCAATACTGACACATATCCTTTAGTTCTTCTTCTCTACTTAGTAAAAATGTTCCAAGCTATTTTTTCTTGGTGGGATGTAATGAAAATGGAAAAAAAAAAAAAAAAAAGATAAAAAATAAAAGAAAAAACCTCCAAAGTCTCCAGTGGAGGCTGAGCTATGCCTTGGTTGAACCCTGCTTTAGAGAGTGGAGTCTTGACTGAGCTTTTCAAGCACCCATTTTGTATTTGCTGTTGAAATTCAGTTTGGTGTTCTGGGGGTGCAAAGCTCAAAGGAAATAGAGGTGGGGAAGCTGCTCTCAGGCCTGAAGTGGCACAAGGGACATGTCCTGGGGGTGTCCATCCTCTGGGCAGGGTGACAGGAAACAGCCCCAGCCGTGCCAGGGGAAGTTAAATCAGGTTGTAGGAAAATTCCATCACGGAGGAGCGGCCAGAGCCTGGCCCAGGGTGGAGTCACCTCCCCTGGGGGTGCCCAAAAACGGGGCTGAGGCTCCTGGGGATGGGGTCAGTGCTGAACAGGGCACTGGGGCTGGGCTGATGTTTGGGCTGGATTGACTTCCCCAGCCCCTGTGACTCACTGGACTCTTTGATGTTGCTTTTGTTGCTATCTGAAGCATTTTGCTCTGTTGTAGGGCACAGGGGGATGTCTGTGGGTGACTCTGAGCTCTGGTGACACAGGGGACACTTGGCTCCTTTCCACTCAGAGATTTTTTTTCCCTTGCATTTTTTTTTAGTTCTCTTTATTTTCTCCTGCTGTGCTGTTCTCTCCAGGACCAAACACTCACAGGTGCCCTGTAGCCACCTGTCACCCTAAGGGGACTTGTGGCTTTCTCCCTCCCTCCTGTTCTTGGGGGACTTAATTCTGCTCCTTTCTTGTGGGAAGGGGTGGCAGAAATGCTCGCCTTGTCCTTCAGCAAGGAGCTGCTTCAAATTCTTGCATTCTCTTTTTTTAAGATCTTAAGATTTTTATTTTTTTTTTCCATTGGGATCATCTGTACCAGCCACGTGCCAAAAGCCTTTAAATGCAGCTTTTTCCAAGCTGGTTTATAATTAAAATAGATCTTGCTGCTTCTGTGTAATGCAGCAGCCTGACTTCAGTGGGAGCAGTGGGAATGAAGGACAAGAGGAATGGGTCTTTATCCCAAACTGCTTCAGAATAAGCAGCAGGTATATTTCTGTTTGCACAAATATTTCTGCTCCTGACAGTTAAGGCCATGTGGTTTCCCTTTTTGGTAAATTTCTCTGCCAAGCTGGGTGGTGTTTGTTTATTTGTTTAATAAAAAGTGTTTGTATTTTTAGAGAAGAAAAATCTCAGCTGTCAGCTTTGGAAACAAACCTTCTGTTTATGGTGTGCCAAAACACCCCTGCAGAACCCCCAAACCAGCTTCCCCTCAGCCCCTGCCAGAAGCTGGTTTTATTTGGGAGGTATTTCTAGTCCTGTGTCACGTAAATCATTCCCATTTTCACCCTCTTATAATGAACCTGAGTGTGGATGATGGACTGACCACAGTATTTCAGGGTCTGACTATGAGTTATGTGCCTGTCTCCAGGTTTGTAAGCCATAAAAGACTTCATGTGCAGCTAGGACTGAATTAAAACTCCAAATCCTCCACGGCAATTTTAGGTTTAGGTTTGTTTCCATGGCATTGCTGTTTTTTCTTTTTTTTTCTTTCTTTTTTTTCCTCCTTCATTTTTAATTATGGCTTGAAGGTGAGAGGGGTTATTCTTACCTTTTGAAAAGTTGCCTTGTAGGACACAATGACTCAAGGTTGTTGGAGTTTCTAATGCCTGTTGGTGCCATCTTTCTGAAAGCCAGGGTTAACCGTGGCACATGCATGGAGCTCAGAAAACCAGGATACCGGGGCTGTTCAGGGGAGGCTGTGCCCTCGTGAGAAGGTTAAAAACGCTGGATGTGAACTGTAGTTTGTGATATTTATCACTTTACCTCCCGTCAGGGTTTGATCCTTGCTGTTGAAGTCGTTCCCTCGCTCTGTGGGGAGCCCGGGGGAGCAGGATGCTTCCTTTGGCACTCCGTGCCAGGGAAAGCCAGCTTTTCCAGGGAGAGGACAAAGCTTCCATCGGGGAAAGCGGGGAGCAGAGTCCAGGAGAGGGCAACGCTCTGCCCAGGGGGCTCAAACTTTCCGTGACACCGAGCAGCCTGAGCGTGTTACCGCGACTGTCCCCATCTCCACCCGGTGCAGCCCCGGGCTCCCCATCCCCGGTACCCAGCTCCCCATCCCCGGTACCCAGCGCTCTGCATCCCCGGTACCCAGCTCTCCCCATCCCCGGTACCCAGCTCTCCCCATCCCCGGTACCCAGCTCTCCCCATCCCCGGTACCCAGCGCTCTGCATCCCCGGTACCCAGCGCTCCGCATCCC